CCTTGAAAATAATAGTGAGAAGCCCATCAGGTCCCGCAGCCTTTCCTTTCTTTAATAATTGAATGCAGCTTCGTACTTCCGATTCTGATGGGAGCTTGCGTGTCACCACCATGCATTTTTATCGCTTACTGTAGTCCCCACTTTCTCACTCCATTCCTTTGTTTCATCCGGTTAGCTTTTATTTATTTTCACTGGACGTTAAACGAAGACCTTATACTGCAGGGTTTGTCTTCTGACTTACCTGTTCAACTTATGGGATCCAAATGTCTCAAAAACCTTGTGTTCCATCCTCCGCAGAGATTGATTGTGGTTCGTATTCCTGTATTTTTGACATCATTGGAGTGTATATCCGCTATTTTCAATGCTAAGAAGCGCTCAGTCATTAACTTGGTATGGAATTGTCTCGGAAATGTGTCCTACATTTGCATTCAGAACTCAGCTACTCGTGAGTAGTTCAACTGTAGATCTGGTTTTTGTCAAATATACTTCTAAGCCGCACGAGTACCGATCACTTGAACGTCTGTTAAGGAAAATGAAAAGTTTTATCACAAGAAACGCGGAGTTAATTCTTGATAGAATCCGTCGGTTTTTCGCAGGCACTGTGTCCCTCGAGCGTCATCTGTACGGGAATGTAATCAGCTTTTTTGGTTATTCCTCTAAAGCAGTCCTGTGATAGTTGATGGGTAAACTCCTCATTTTGAGTGTACATTTTTGCAAACAAATGTTTAAAACCGCTCCAGCTCTTGTATATAGTTGTATTTTGATTAGTATAAGGCTAAGAAGTTTAAATGTTGAGGCTGTTCGTCGAATCCTTGTGTAGAATCTGACAGTTACGCTTACTCAGAGACAAAGTGTAATTCATCAGGAATTATTATACCATATTAAAAACATTAGGAATATTAATGACGCTAAAATAATTGTAAACACCGCTATTGGTCGAAAGCTGTTCCATGTACGAGGTGCAAAAGCAAAATAAAAGCAGCTGTGTCAACCACCTTGACTAGTCCCCGTAGTTCGACTGCAATTCGACATGACTGAGACTGAAAACTGGACCTCAACGATACATTGCAAGGGTATGGTCTTCGTGATGAAACCTAAAATCATGTCGCAGCTTACTAGAATCGGGTGTCACGTGACTGGTTGGTCTCTCTGTTGACCTCAACGGTATTGATTAGCTTAATGTTTATTGATCTGTTTTTCATCTGCTAATCCTGTAAATCGTTTTGACACAATTACAGTCAGCCACTCCAGTTCAGTGACTTGTGTTCTTCACAAACCAGCGGCGTACAGCGATAACACTCTCACTTGTAGTTCTGGGCAGCTAATAAGCCCTGTGAAATGAACCAACAGCATCATTCATCATTGTTGACCGTGAAAAATTACTTTCTTTAATTCCAGCAGCGGATTGGGATAGCTATGACTAGCCATCGTAAAACTCAATGGAACTTGACTGCTATGCGGAAGTGCAGCACCCGACGAACTACAGGGAAACCATAATCTGAGTTAAGTGAAACAGTTCAAATTGTTCTATTCTAATTCTTCTATTGCAATGACAACCATACTTAGCTTCGTTCTTTCTACA